GTGCAAGAAATCAAGCACATGGCATCGATATCCAGGATAGGTTGTCAGGTATCATGTCGTTTTCCCCGTAATAAAAAGAACCATCGTTCCGCCGTCCTTGATCCGCCGTTCTTTTGTACTTTTATATACCTCTTCACTCTTGCCATGTTTAAAACCACGTACAATAATCAGAGGACGGATATGTATTTATCTACGACTTTTTTTATTTTATACCGACAATGATACCTTTTGAGTGTGTTCTCTAACTCGAATCCATGACAAAAATTTCAAAATATTTTCACATCTTCTCACATGTATTTCTAGGTTTTCAGACATATCAATATTTCCACGATTATTTTAATCATACAAAAATCGTTTACATACATTTTCAAAAGTATATAAATATTTTGCAAATATTTGAACTATGTGAGAAAGCAAATTCGTTTGCTGAAAGAAATCCCACCACAAAAAAATCCGAAGTAAATTATATTTATAATATACAAATTATTTTCCAAAATGTAAAATGAAAATTTAATTCCATAATTTTTTTCCCTAAATACATATCCGTCAAAATAATGTGTCCACCTTGTGATCTGATGCGTCTAAATTTAGTAGGGTTGCCGGAAAAGTGCTCTTTTATGACGTGTGGATCACAAATATTTATTCCCAAATTGCGGATCACAATTTGCGAACATTTCTATTTTCACGTAATATATTTCTTAAAGATTTTAACACTCCCCCAAACTATTAAGTGCATATCCGCCCTCTGCTAATAATGTGTCCACCTGGGCCTGCATACATCCACACGACATGCAAGTTATTTGAACCACCAGCTCGCCTGCCTCACTCAAAAGTCCTGCGAGAAGAAGAAGCCCCTTTGTTGTCGAGTCGTTGCTTTCTCTCCCTCACTTTCTCCCCTCTCTCCCTCCGTGTTTAAATTACTCCGGAGGAACGAGCAATGAGCACACAATAACTCGGGCGTAATGGGTTTTCGCCAAACTTGAAAGGAACCACATTCTCCAAACAATAAATTGCACAAATGTAGCATCAATGATTTCAGCCAAACTCGGCAAGGTATGCAGATATTGGGTGTGTGGTTGGTTTCATCTATGCAAATTTGCACGTATGTATCGCGTGGAGATTGAAATTTCATTTTCATTTTCATTTTCATTTCGACAGGATGCATATTTATACACATTTGTAATAATGTGAAATTGCAATTTGCACCGTGACGTCAACTTTCCTCGGGTGAAAGCAGTGGAAAATCGTGATCAAGGAAAACCACACGGCTTTCACCACGAGGTGATTTTATTAAATTAGAGATTGGATATACGTACGAAACTATTTAAAGGATGGGGAGATGTTTCAATTAGGCTGAGAGCTGGATTCATGTGGGGCTTGGTAACCTTGTAAAATGTGTGCATTTTTTACAGTAATTTTATATAAAACTTTTGCAAAATAAGCATATGCCGTTGATCTGAGCAAGTTTTTGTAAAAATTTGGGAGCTAATTTTTTCCCAAAATGTGAGTAGAATTTTGTAAAAGTTTGTAAGTTTAGGGAATATACGGATTTTACAATGTTACTAATGTCTACGTGAATTTGCTCACTTTGCGAAAACAATGTTTTAGTAGCGATAAAAAGTTAATTGTTTCACAAAACGAGTATTTTCGTATAACTAATTGGCCGTTGTTGTTCTTTTTGTTTTTAAAAATCATAAGTTATGATTCATAACCCAGATCTAAAAATGCTGTATTTTTGACAAAATACAAATTTCAAAATAATTTTCCTCAGCTTAAAGTCGTTTCTAAATTTTCGTCTAAATTTGCATCCAACTTTCACTCACTACTTATTTATACCAAATTTTTAAAATGATATAAAAACTTCCAAAAATATACATATTCCCAAAGGTAGGAATTTACTTGCAGAAAACTCTTGCATATTTTAGGTCTCGGCTGAGAAGGCTCATCTCCACCCACCCACCCACCTGCTTTCACCCGTGTTTTATGCATGTATTTGCATACGCCGTGCAACCAGTAGGGAAATGACAGCTGCATGTATATGCAAAGTAATATTCACAAGAGAGAGACGGAAGTACGCCGTGGAGGGGGATGATTTATTATTAGCAGGGATGGGCAAAATATATCCAAGTTTATGGCAGGGTTTAGATCCTTTGTCCTGTTACAGCCATCAAAATCTAGATCGAGAAGGCAGCAGTCTTGCAAAAATATGAGTTTTAAAAAAAATTAACTGTCAAAATACTGCATTTTATCCCGAATTTTTTAAAAATCAAGTATTTTGACCACTATAAAAAGTTAATTTCTGCACAAGGTACGAATTTTCATATGACTGGTGCCTTTTTGATGAAGATTTTAACTGTTTGCGAATCTACTTTGTCAAAATACACCTTGTTTTGCACCCTGTTCTTCCCAGGGTTTAGATTTCCAGAGCTGTTACAGCCACAAAAAGGTTAAAATCTACATTTGAGAAGGCACCAGTCAGTCGAAAGTACTCGTTTCGTGAAGAAATTAACTTTTTATCGCTGTCAAAATACTGCAGTTTTTTAAAACATCGCGAAAACAAGGTGTTTTGATAACCATAAAAAGTTAATTTCTTCACAAAACGAGTATTTTCGCATGACTGCTGTCTTCTCGATGTGCAGTATTTTGCCCTTTTTCTTGTTGTAAAAGCCCTGGAAATCAAAACCTTGAGAAGAACGGAGCTCAAAATATGGTATATTTTGGACAAAGTATTTTGCTCATCATTGATTAATACCAGGTGAATCCTGCCTAAACTTCCAATTTGACTTTCACTCCGATTCTCAGGCCGTGTGGTGGGAGAAAGTGTGGTATATCTCACCCATGTTAAAATAAGCCCCTCCCATTATTATATCTTACCGTACTTTAAAATTAAAACCGCAAGCCCGACATGTATCCTCCAGAGAAAATGTGGCATTTTTAATATCCTTGGAATACGCAATTTATCCAGTTTTCCGAAATTTGAGTAAAACTTTTAGTTAAAAACGACGCACTTTTTGTTCCCACGGGAGTGTCATGTCATTTTATTTCGCGACATATGTAATTATGCAAATTGTTTATTTGCAATGTGAAAGTCTATATGAGATCCTCGCAATGCACAATTTATCCAGTTTTCCGAAATTTGTGCAAACCCTTGAGCACAAAACGATGCACTTATTTTTGTTCCCACAGGAGTGTCATGTTTTTATTTCGCGAAATAATTTTGCAAATTATTTATTTGCTATGCTAAAAGTGAAACTCTACATGGGATTTTCTATCCTTCTAAATCATATGATACTCTTCACCTTTTACAAACCCCAATAAAGCATTCGCTCAGCATCGTTATTAATAAAAAATATAAAGTTCGCAATTTAAAATAGATTTGAAAATTATTTATCTTATTTGCTTTGCAAACAAAATTTATATCCACCCTCATATCCACCCTCTTAATTAATACCAAAATGAGACAAAATTAGAAATTTGGCAAAAATAGCTTCCAAATTTATTTACTTTGCAAAAAACAAGAAAAACACATTCTTTATGAATTCCCGACTACCAATAACACAAAATTCGCTATTTCGCAGAAAAATAGCCCTGAAACTTGCACAAAAAACTAAAAGATATCCAAACTCTTCATGAATACCCCGATTGTCCCCACCCAGTTCTGCCACCCTTGAAATTCTGACTCATTCAAGCCCCACAAAACAACGCATCTTTCCTCCTCCATTTGCAGCAGGCATCATTACTAAATAATTAATTATTTCTCGTATTTAGTTTCTATAAAAATTTCTAATTATTTTACAAAAATGTGAGCTCGTGGCTAAAATGTATTATAGCTATTCTACATTCATAGGGCGGATATGTATGTACTAAAATTCCTCAAAATATGTATGCAATATGTGCTTAAAAAACTCGAAAATATGCACGTAAAAAATATTTGCTAACCTAAACTTTTTACTATATTTGCGTTTAATTTTCGAAAACTTTCAAATTTATTAATAAATCTCTTATTAATAAATTATTTATTAAGCATTGTATATGTATTTTAATATTCATGTAATGGCCCATAAATCGACACTAGTGATACTTGGATATTTTTAAGAGTGATTTTATGGTTTGAAAAATAGGGCAAAATGGATTTTCTAGTCGTGAGCACGAATTGAACTCCGTTATCATGAAAATATAATTTTGGTCAAACCTTAACGTCTGAACGAAGAAAAATATGTTTTGTCAAAAAACGTTGAAATATGCATTAGAATATTTATGTTTAGAAAAGGGCTCGAAATATGTAGGAAAATATGTGTATTTACGAAAAAACCTCTAAATATGTATGAAAATATGTATATGTACGAAAACCCTAAAATATGTAAAATATGGAAAACTATGTTTGAATTTTTGAAATCATGCTTCGATTGGATGTCAGTATACGAAGTTATAGTTAGATCTGATTAGGAATGAAAAAGTTAGAAATACATACAAATCCGCCCTCTGTTCACAATACTGGTTTTCATTCCGCATTGCTCGCATCATCGTTATTAAAGTTCCCAACTTTGCAAAAAGTGAATCAAAAAAATGACTTTTCTGATTCCATTTCTACAAAAATAAAAAAAATATCCAAACTCTTCATGAATACCCCAATTGTCCCCGCCTAGTTCTACCACCCCTGAAATTCTGACTCATTCAAGCCCACAAATTCCACAAACAATGCATCTCAGTTTGCAATTTCGCAAAAAATTAACCTTAAAAATTACTTTTCTTATTTCCTTTACACAAAAATTTAAAAATATCCAAACCCTTCATGAATACCCCAATTGTCCCCGCCTAGTTCTACCACCCCTGAAATTCTAACTCATTTTATCCCACGAATTCCACAAACCAACGCCTCTTTCCTCCTCCATTTGCAGGCATCATTACTAAATATTTCACCCATGCTTTCTCCCTACTTTCTCCTATCTCATCTAATTAACTAACCCACCTGCGCGTGGCGTGTCTTTTCTCCATTTCAGTGAACTTTGACCACTTCCAAATCCTCCGAGCCATTGGGAAAGGCAGCTTTGGAAAGGTAACGAAAAACAAAAAATAAAAAATAAAATAAAATAAAACTCCACCATTTTACTTTCAATTATCTTTACCAATGTTCTTTTTAACCGCTCCGTGCGGTATAATTACTAAAAATACGCCAGTTTTTATGGACCCAGCCATTCTAACGCGCCACTCAATTTTCCTACTTTCATTTCACCACCCTGTGAAGAAAAAGAGGAAAGAGAAACATTCTTTTTTTTCGGGTAGAGTTGTACAATGGGCAAAAAATAAGGAAGAATCGTTCAAAAATGTTTGCAAATTCAGTTCTTTGGAAACTTAAAAAAAATTGTTCCCAAATTTACCTAGAAAAAATCTGCAAGAAATAAGCGCCATCTAGTGAGTCACCCTTTATAAGGATTGTCCTCTCTAGATGGCGCTTATTTCTTGAATTTGTTACTGAAAGAAATTATGCCTGCAAAATTAAGGTGTAACAAATTGCAAGGACTAGGCGCCATCTGGCTGGTCACCCTTTGTAGCGGACTTAATTATAGGAATTGACCGCTAGATGGCTCTTGTTTCTGAAAAATTAGGCCTAAAAAATCACAATTTCTTACAGTATTTTCTATTAAGTGTTTTAAAATACTCTCCATTACAAAATTCGCTTCATAAAATTCAATTTTCAATAAATTTCCAAATTTGCATAAATTTAAATTTTGGCCAAATCCGGCATACTATAAATTTAAAAAATCACAATTTCTTGCAGTATTTTCCTCCCGAAGTTTTTAAACACTTCTTAAAATTCCCCTAATAAAAATTCCAGCATAAATTCAAAATTCTGTTAAAATCCCCCCTTCACAAGTATCACCCTGCCCTTGTACAACTCTACCCATCCCAAAAAAAGAAGATGCCCACTCGTTCAGGTTGGTATGGCTGAAGGCGGGGTAGTGTTTTAAATAAAGGTGGGCTTTTTCGTTCCCCAGAGAGGCTGAGAACCTGATCGTTTCTTGTCTTTTGTTGAATAAATGATGAAGGTGTGCATCGTGCAGAAGCGGGACACGGGGACCATGTACGCCATGAAGTACATGAGCAAGGCTGTCTGCTTCGAGCGAGACGCCCTCAGAAATGTGCTACGCGAGATTGAAATTCTGACAGAACTGGATCATCCCGGCCTGGTTAACCTCTGGTTCTCATTTCACGGTAAGTACCACCAACTACATCATGCAACTAGATACACATACACTTTCTCTCCGCGATGATGAAATCGGCACGGTGGGAAGATTCGACAAAATTCTGGCCAAAAATGTATAAAAGTGGTTCAAATTTATTGAGTAAAAGAATTATTGTGAAATCGGCACGGTTGGGAAATTCGGCAAAATTCTGGCCAAAAATGTATGAAATTGGTCAAAATTTTATATGCTAAAAAACATGATAAGAACTCTGGTTCTCATTTCATGGTAAGTTGAACCTAGAGCTAGACTCTTCCTGATGATGAAATCGGCACGGTGCGGAAACTCGCCAAAATTCTGGCCAAAATTTGATAAGTAAACAAAAACTTATGATGAAATCCGCCAAAATTCTGAGAAAGATATTAAATTAGCTGTAATTCTTATGAAATTATGCTTAAAATTGCACTGTGGGCAAAATTAGGCAAAATTTCTGGCCAAAATTTTAAAAGTACAAAAACTTATTATGAAATCCGCCAAAATTCTTAGAAAAAAAATAAATTAAAAATTAAAAATTAAATCAGTAAGATTAATAGCATTTTATAGGTACGCCAAATTGATAAATCCAGTTTGACGAAATATCCTAAAAATATGTATAAAAAATTAGCTGATACAGCTTGCAGAGAAATTAAGGTGAAATATAAAACAATTTTGTTAGGTGTGATTTGATATTTGACTTATTTTGTAAAAATGTTAGGTTTTCCCATACATTAGAAAATTTATACAATTTTTATCTTCCTTTCTCTCCTGTTAATTTTTAGTGTGCTTCATTCAATATTTCTAGCTGCATGATATAAATAAATTTAACTAGATTGGATTCACCCAACTTGTTTTACTTTATCAAACTTTCACCAATTTTATTTTTAGCGCGAGGCGAGGCGTGCGGAGAGGGTGACGATGATGCGGGGAGACGTGGCGGCAGGTGGATCGGAATGGATGGCAGAAATATGTACAACTTTCTTCTCGCGTGAATCTCAGTTTGATTTACCGTCTCTGGAGAAACATTACGGGTCATTATTATCATTTCCCTGCTAGGATGAGCACGTCCAATTTATACCCACCAACTTTCCAGATTACGCAGGGTTTCATAACTTTCCTACTAATTTGAGATTGCCAAAATTGGCAAAAAACAACGACGATAATGACTTTTAGTAAGTAAGCGGCTTAAATTTAAAATCGTCAATTTATGATATTTTGTACACTTAATAATTTGCACAGGGATAAGACTCGTAAATTCGTATTTTTACTAACTTTCTAATCCGGATTGTTCATGTTTTCGTATTTTTCTCATTAATTTGAGATTGCCAAAATTTGCAAAAAATAATGACGTTAATGACATTTACCAGTAAACGGCTTAAATTTAAATTGTCAACTCATTGTATTTTGTACACTTAATGATAATTTGGACATGGATAAGACCCGTAAATTCGTATTTTTATTAAATTTCTAATCTAGATTGTGTATGTCTTCGTATTTTTCCCATTAATTTGAGGTGGCAAAAATGGGCAAAAAATAGTACCAATAATGACTTTTAGAAATGAAAGGCTGAAATTTAAATTGAAATCTGATTGGTATTTTGTACCCTTAATGATAATTTGCGTAAAGATAAGACCCATAAGTTCGAATTTTTATCAACTTTCCCCATGCAGATTAAGCGAGGTTTCATATTTTTCCAAAGCAATTAAGATGACAAAAATAGTGGAAAAAGTTAAAATTTACTTTGATAATTAAACAGTTTAAAATTAATTGCAATCCAATCAGTATTTCGTAATATGATCATTTTGATAAAGATAGGAAAGATAAGAAATATTCTTATTTACTTCCCCACCAAGATTGGACAGGGTTTCGCATTTTTTCGACTAATTTGCAGTGACAAAAATGGGGGGGGGACATTACATGACTTTAACAAATTTCAATTGCATACTAATTGAAATTTTGTATCCTCCATGATAATTCGGGTAAAGATAAGACCCCGAAATCCGGATTTTTATCAACTTTCCCACCAAGATTACGCAGAGACAAGCTCCCTAAGATCCTCTAACCTTCACTAAATCTGACCAAATAAGACACACTTTCACCGTGACTGCTTTCTCTCAGGTATGTCTGGCAGTACTACGTACTATTCATTGTCGGGGTGCTTTCTCTCATAGAAAAAATTAATTGGTTCGTAAAATTCTTAATTTTCAAGGCTATTTTCTTCCCACAAATGAACTTTTATTATGTATAAATTCGATGCCAAAATTTCCAAATATGTGTCTTACTCCACCCGAAACCTGGCAAAAAGAAATAAGCAAAAAACAGTATGACACACTTTCACCTTGACAGCTTTCTTTCTCGCTATAGGAATTATGATCAACTTTCTCCCCATTCCTCCCACATGTCATTAATAAATACTTACAACTCCCCGGAAACCTTGGAGATTCGTAGATAAATGAAGAAAAACAAGGTGAACCAGTGCTCCTATCGAAACGAAATTTTTTCGTACATATTCTAAACGAAATTAAGCTCATTTTCGAAATTTTCGGTTTTGAAATAAAATAAGTAATTTTTTAGAGTTACGACGATTTGCTAAAAAAACTTGGTTAACTTTTCAGTATAAATTGTATAACTGAAGATACAATGGCTGTCTCCCAGCGGGTGCTCTCCGATTTTGGGCAATTTAATCTCAATCGATGGCAAATTTGATTAGTATGAAACTTGCGAAAGATACGACCTTCCAATTGGCACGTTTGGCCGAGAGGTTTGCATCCGAAGAGGAGAAAACGCGCAATAAATTTGGAAAGTGTAAGATTTATCGACTTTACCGCGCATTTTCTCCTCTGCGGATGCAAATATCTAGGCCAAATGTGCCCATTGGGAGATCGTGTCTTTCGCAAATTTCTTACTATTCAAATTTATTATCAATTGAGACCAATTCGCTCAAAATCCGAGAGCATCCTTGGAAGACCTCCTTTATAAGTGGAACACAAAAAGAGCACACACGAGGGACCATTTTCTTTCCAAAGTCTACTAATTTCAGCAATTATTGGACGCCACGTACATAACTCGGTGCAATTACGATCTGTCAATTAGTGATTCTGCCGGATCGGTTCATCTTTCTCCGTATTTTATCCCGGCACAAATCCCCCGCTTCGTAAACAGCTTATCGCATCCGCAGGGACTACGGATCCATTGGGTAAAACATAGAAATGTTTTTAGGCGTACTCAAGACAACGTTCACAAATTCGAGCGAAATTTGCAAAAAAAAACATTTTGCAAAAAAAAAATTGCTAGAACGTATGATTTTTTTGTTCTAATTTTCCTCGAAAATTGGCATGTTTTAATTTCACCAAAATATTGACAAGGAATCTGCTTTATTAAAAACATTGCAAATTTTATTATTGACAAATTGACCATATGGCTCGCAACTAATTCTGGAAAAAACTATTTGCTGGAAAACTTTGAAATTTAAGTTATGAAATATTTTTACCATTTTATAAATTTTTAATTTTTGTGGGAATTTTGCTCTTAAATATTTTGATTTTGATTGGAATTTTGTTCAAAATTTGCCCACGAAATCGACATTTTATGTTTTTTAGCTATATTATTTTGCAAACTAAACTTTCTAAATTACTCCTCAATTCGTTGACGTGAGTACCCCCATTATCTTTGTAAACCTATTAAATCCTGTCTCGTCCCCACGTCCGCTCCTGCCCTTGATTCCCCCTCGCACAGAGTGTAGGGATTGCAAATCCGGATTTTTCTGATTTATTCGAAAGAACTCCAAATCCGGATTTTAAAGTATTTTGTTTACTGTGAGAGCTGAGAATTATCCGAATTTTCCGGATTTAGAAGGATTACAAATCCGAATTTTAGAGTTTAAAAAAATATTGTTATCGTCAATATAAAAGCTGCGAGTTTTTCGGATTTATTAGAGCTCCAAATCCGGATTCGACACGAGATAACATCTTAATTTTGGAATTTTTTTATCATGTCGATACAAGAGATGCGGGATTATCCCGATTATCCGGATTTAGAAGGATTCCAAATCCGGATTCTAGACTTTCTTAAATATTTTTTAAGTGTCACCATTAAAGCTGCTAGTGCGTTCCTACTTCTAATTCAAAATCCGGCCTTGAAATCCCTAATCCCCACACGCACCATGTCCTTATTTTGTCCCGGAACACACGACCAAGAGCTTACTTATCCCGCCTGATTTCCCATCCTTTTGATATTTCATCATCCCTTTTAATCCCGGATTGACACAGAGCTACGACTACGACAACAAAATCCGTCACGCCGCTGCCATCGAGAGAAAGTCGTGCCAAAACTGGTGAAAGTGAGGGCAAGGAAAAAAAAAGTCCAGTCACGTCCAGCTTCCACACACAGCGGGGAATCTATTCCTAGCCAGGCCTTGATTACGCTACGCAGAGATGGGTCAAGTACTTGGTTTAAAACACCCCATATTGACCCAGTTTTTTTTACGTAATTTGGATTTCCAGGTATGCAAAACATCCACAAAAAGACGACAATTAACATGAAAATGCACGCTTTATGACGAAATTAACTTTTTCCTTATAAGGGACATTTTCCAGTGTATGATCTCCGTTTTTTTAACAAACTACTGTCAATTTAATTAGTATGAAATTTGGGAAAGACAGATGATCTCCTAATAGGCACGTTTGCCAGAGATATTTGCATCCGAAGAAGAGAAGACGCGCGTAAAGTCGACAAATTTTACACATCCCACATTTACTGTGCGTTTTCATCTCTTGGGACGCAAATATTTCGGCCAAACGTGCCCATTGGGAGATCGTGTTTTTCGCGAATTTCATGCTAAACAAATTTGTCATCCGTTCAGATTAATTTGCCCAGAATCTGAGAGCATCAGCTGAGATACGTCCCTTGTGAAGGGCTACAAACTACTCTTGTTTTCGACACAATAATCGCATGCGAGTGCATTGAGGTGTCTGCAATAGGTCCAACTGGTAACCT